TCTATTAATCCTAATCGGATACCGTAAAACGCCGTTATAGATTTTGATCTTTTGCGGCGTTTGTTCCAAAAACGTCGGTATAGATCTTGACATTTTGCGGCATTTGTTCTAAAAACGTTGTTATAGATCTTGACTTTTTGCAGCATTTGTTTAAAAAATATCGCTATATCTTGACCTATTGCGGTGTTTTTGTTCTCAAATGTTGCTAACGTTAGCGGCGTTGGTATGACCGATGCTTCTTGCGACGTTTTTGTTATCGTCGCTAGTGTTTTTAACGGTGTTAAAAATTTTTGTTATAGAAATAAAAAAATGCCGTTAAAACTCTGATTTGTTGTAGTGAGAAGATAAGTATTTTATTTTTGTATTTTGTAAAGGTTCAAACTTTTACATTTCACATAAACCACACGTGCAAGCAAAGCAACCCATTTTTGTCTTTTTGGTCAAATTACATTTATTATGTTAAATAATTATACATTAAGAGACAGAAATTGACCTTTCAACCGTAGAATTGTTTGATTGGGTCACCCGTTTTTATGTCACAGCTGGTGGTCAGTGAACGAACCTTTCGATGCTTCTGAATTTGGACTGCCACGTATTCATGAACCCTAATCAGTCCTCCTAATTATTTCAAGTGTCACAATATTTCTTTGGGTAAACTACACCATATATCATCGAATTTTAGACATTGTATCGTTTATACAGCTGAACTTTCAACTTTACCAATCATAACACTAAACTTTAATTTTCGTTTCAATTATACTATCGGGTCGTTAAATCGTCAACATCTGGATCAAAACGACATCGTTTTGGTGCGGTGTGTACGTCGACAACCGTTAGCCACATCTTAGTGTCGTTAAATTGTTAACAGTTCAATGATATAATTGAAATGAAAATCAAAGTTTAGTGCTATGATTGTAAATTGAAAGTTTAATGGTATAAATGATACAATGCCTAAAGTTTGATGGTATCTGGTGTAGTTTACCCTATTTCTTTTATTTTTTGTTAACTTTTTAAACACCATTTTACTTTTAAGAGATGACAACTCTTATGAGATTGAAACTACATAAACTTTTATAGTTTTATTAGATGTGTAATTTTGTACATTAATCTTGATTTTGTACAATTGAATACATCAAATTTTATTTTTATTCAATTTGTATAAACCACTAAGGCCGTTATCGGTATAACATATTTTTATGTTCACCTATTATATACAAAAACAATTATATTTATTAAATACAAAAGTAAGTCAATGTATTTATTTTTTAAAATGAGTATAATTGAATCTAAATTAAAGTTCTATGTATTGTAAACAATTAACCTAAAACTAAAACTAAAACTAAAACTGGGTAAAGTGCACGGATGATCCCTGATTATAGGATATTATTTTATTTGGTCCTTTGACTATTTAAATTTAAAAATGGTCCTCTGATTATAGAATGATGATTTGTTAAATTCCTTGAGTATTAAAAGTTATAAAATGGTCACTCAACTTTCTTATGTTCCAAACTCGTTCTTTTCCGTTGAAAATTTGACGGTTTTTTAAGCTGAACGTCAACATGATGACTGTGATATGATAGTCTTTCGAGATTCTAGGATCAGATTTTATCATATCACAAACAATAGGTTAACGTTCAGCTCAAAATACCGTCTATTTTTTAATAGAAAAGGACGAGTTTAGAACATAATGAATAGTTGAGTGATTGTTTTGTAACTTTTAATAGTCGAGGGACTCAACAAAGCAACACTCTATAGTCGAAAAACCATTTTGTAACTTATAATAATCGAGGGACTTAATAAATTAGTACCCTATAATCGGGGGACCATTTGTGTACTTTACCCATTAAAATTTCATTTGTATATTTACATAAAATCAAAGATCGTAAATCATATTGCACTAGAATTCGTTTATAATTTTGATTTGATTTATAGAATAAATGTATGGCCAGTGGCGAGCCACGGTCTGGTCGGGGTCACGTATTCACCTTAAAATTCGAATTTTCTTTGATTAGTTACTTATTTTATTGAGGTGTCCACCTTGAAATCTGAGTTTTCTTTTATCAGTTACTTATTTTATAGACGGTAGAATTTTATATTATTAACGTATGTACTCATCGTGAAAAAAATTCTGCATCCGTCATTGTGCACGACAGAAACGGCTGCAGTGGGAGGGAAAGAGTGGTATTTTTACAGCAAGATAGATAGAAAATATGCAACGGGACTGAGAAAAAATAGGGCAACATGCAGTGGGTACTGGAAGGCAACAGGGAAAGATAGGGAAATCCATAGCAATGGCAAGCTTGTAGGGATGAGGAAAACCTTGGTCTTCTACAAAGGCAGGGCTCCCAAAGGCACCAAAACTGATTGGGTCATGCGTGAATTCAGGCTTCAACATCACCTTTCTCCTCCCAACCTTTCTACTCTCAAGGTAATTATCTATCTTTATATACACACACATAGGGGATGGGCACGAACCTGAAACCGACGGATTCCGATACAACTCGATACAATCAGGTTGAATATTTTTAAAAGAATTCAGGTTCAGGTTTGATCGAGTTGGGCTTTTTAGTTAATATGTTCGGATTGGGTCAGATTCATGTTTAGGGTAAAAAATACTTGAGCCCGACTCGAAAAATAATATAAATCTACCTGACATTTTGAATCTTAAAACCCTAAACTCTGAACAAAACGAATGACGTTTAAATGAATAAGGTTATATAGTCTAGATTTTACACCGTATTAAATAATATATTTATAATTTGATGAAGTTTTTATATCAAATAATTTTATTCAGGGTAAAATACATAATGGTCTGTTGACTAAAGTTTTTCTTTATTAAGTTTTCCGACTATTAAAAGTTATAAAATAGTCATTCGACTATATAGAGTTACTTTGTTGAGTCCCTTAACTATTAAAAGTTAGAAATAGATTATTTTCCAAACTCGTCATTTATCGTTAAAAATTTGACGATTGTATGAGCTGTAGGTTGACCTATTAACTGAGATATGATAAAATTTGATCTCATAATCTTAAATGACTATCATGTCTCAGTCAGCATGTTACCGTCAAACTCAGATGACCATTAATTTTTTTAATGGAAAAGGACTAGTTTGAAACAGAATGAATAGTAGAGTAACCATTTTGTAACTTTTCATAGTCAATAGACTCAACAAAGCAACTCACTAAAGTTGAGGGACCATTTTGTAACTTTTAATAGTCAAGGAACTTAATAAAGTAGTATTACATAATCGAGGGATCATTTGTGTACTTTACCCTTTTATCTATTAGTTTTTTATACATATTACACGGTTCGTATATCAAATAATGTTATTAGTGTTCTGAAACACGTGTAGGAAGAATGGGTCTTGTGCCGAGTGTTCCATAAAACAAGAGAAACCGTTACAACCACCAACCCTAGAAGCATGGTAATCTGTTCCGACGATACAAGCTCTTCAACTCACCCACCGTTGATGGATCCTTACATAATCTCCGATCTAACTCGACCTAGCTCCGACGAGCAAGTGCCCTGCTTCTCCACCATGCTGTCGGCCCAAAACCAAAGCTTCAGCGACATGCAACTGCCGAGCATGTCGACCAAAACCCTAACATCATCATCGTCGTCATCAGCTGAACATCATCATCATCAACAACAAATAACCTCAGCTGCCATTAACAACATTACTTCTTGTTTAGATTCTTTCCCCGGTGACAAGACGGTCATAAAAGCCGTGTTGAACAATCTTAGCCAGTTGGATACTTATCTTAACGTCAAGGGATCGACGAGCTTCGACGAAGTTAGTTATTCAGACCAGAGCTACTTGTCTGGAATGTGGGACTGCCCAACATTTGGGATTAACTGATTATTTATAATAGCATGGTAATTAGGGTTTAGGGTTTCTTATAGTTTGTAAAAAAGTCAAAACTAATTTGGGGTAGCATCAAGTTCACCTATTCCTTTGAACATTATTTAAGATATATGTTGATCCTAAAGTGGAAAATTGTAATCAAAGTTCTTTGATCAAATATAGGGTTGTGATTTGTGAAAAGAGACCGATCGGGTTACAGTAACATAAAATTAATACCCCGATCGATCGGTTTAATTGTAGAACCATGGTGGCAACGCCATGCCTGTTGATGCAAAGCATGCATTTGATCCAGCATATTCAAAAGCATTGGCTTGAGCCTGTTTCTAGCTGGTGTAAGTTTGACATGAATGTACCATTTGATTCGAAGTCTACTCACCCAGAGCGATGATGACGTGATAGAGCTTAATGTATTCGGCGAACTTAGTGTCGCCGAATCGATTGCTATTGCTGGTATCGAGGCCATACAAGCAAGCAGAACTTGAAATCATATTTGGAGAGGGAGTAAGCCAATTGGTTAGTAATGCAATCAACAGGTTTACGTTCATCTGGATTTGCAAGTTCTATCTTTATTTCAACATTGAAAGAGCCTATAGGGATTCGTTTAGGATTGTGCTGAAATGATTGATGAAGTCAAAGAAGGCTCTTGGTACAGCTATGGTGACCATAGGTTTGCTTTCTGGCTTTCTTATGTGTTGATTGTATTGCAAGTTTGCCATAAATTCTGTTACATTTTGGGCAAGACAGAGACAGAGCACTACAATACTCGAGAGACAACCCTGATCTTCATGACGGAATCGGGAAGGTTCGGTACTTCATCCCTCCAATTGCATTATGTATCCATAGATTTTATCCGCATAAATGCAGAGAGTTCGGTCTAAGATCGTCGACAGAACTGAACATTTTAGCTCAACTCATCATGTCATGAGTTGCCTCTGCCTCCTCAAGATGAAGAAATGTATGAAGAGATATGATGATGGGATTGAAATCGCCTGCAGAGATAACCAGATTTCAGTTTCGCGTCTCGATTTTGCAACTTAGATCCGAGCCAACCTAAACATTACCTCATTAGCGAGCAAAAGCTAAATCATTCTCCATATCGATATGCGAAAGCTTACTTGTTGTTCAAGCTATCTTGATTAGAACATAATTACATCTTAGAGACAATAACACAAGTAGTATTACAAACAGAGATTGGTATCTATTGTGCCAAAGCACTTGTGTTGTAAACCAGAAGAGCTCCTCCGGCGAGAATTCCGGCTAGGGTAACCGCCCATATCACCAACCCGGTTTTCCCTGCAACATTGTTTTACACAACTTCTATTAGTTCCGATTATCAAGTTTGGTGATCGATTATCTCGAAAGTCTAAACCAATAAAAATATAATCATACCACCGGTGTAAACATCCCCGGCGGGAGACCAGTCATTGGGGTCGTAGATAGGGCTGTAGCCATCGACATTGGCACCATACTTGTTAACATACTGGTAAACACCCTTTTCCTACATGACAAGGTAATTGATCATTTGATCGGATATCGAATTCGGGTCAAACTCTAAACAGGAAAACAGAGACAAAGTGAGGCAATACTAAGCATCCCTGATATTAACCTTAGCTCTTCTCCGAGAAGCATCAACCCCGTCCTTCAACTTCAAGTCGACATTAATTCCTGCAAAATTCATGATTAAAATTTAACATTCGAAAACCACAAATATTATATATATATATATATATATATACATATATATATATATATATAATATTTGAAAGTAATTACCATAAGGCTTGTCAGTGTTGATCTTCTTCGCGACTTTACTGGCTTCAACCTTGAACGAAGAAGGAACCCTAGCAAGCGAAGGGACATCACCACCTCTGCTAAACCCTGGATTCTTTTCGAAGCTACTGAAACTCGGTTTAAGACTCACTGATGCCATAACCGAGGCATCCATTGTTTTCTCAGGGCAATGAGCGACTCACTCGGCGACTCGTAACAAACGGTATTCACCTTCTACAACATGCATAATCAATTTATATACTGTATTAAAGACGAAGATAGTGATTGTCATCTTGACACGTGGCACATGTACATGTATAATGCACCATTTGATTTGACTGATCCTTCACTCTTGAATCTTCCATTGTTTCTTTTAACAGATCAACAAAGCTGAAGAACTCTCAAGATATATCCAGAATCAACCTATCATGATTAGACATGCACCAAGTTATAAGCTTTTTTTTCAGTGTAGATATCATATTGAACGATCATTGAACATTGAGGACTAAACGTGATATTTACCGTTTAATTTATAAAGGCTACGGTATGACTTAAACAGGTTGAATAAAACTTAGGGTAGATTACTTATTTAGATCACTCAATTATTTTTATAATTTTGTTTTGATTATCTATAGTATACGTTATAATAAGATAATGCCAAGTCATCATTGAAAAATAGTTAATTACATTATATGCTCTCAAACTATAACTTTCGTTTATAACCCTGGTTTATTATCACGTTGATTTTCCCTGCTTTTGACCCTCGTATTGATTTGGATACATGGTTTGCGTTCGTCGATAGTTTTCTCACGTTGCTGACTTTGATTTGTAATTTATCGATGATCTTTCAATAACTTCATCCGCTTTTATGGTTCGTTTTTTGATGCAGTTAGATTTGTTCTTATCTTTATAGTTCGAGCAATTTGGTTAGGTTTTTGTGTCAATGGTTATGAAAAAATGTCATAATTATAATTTAATTTACGTATACAATTATGCTTGTAAATTTCGTTGTAATTCGAGTTTTTTTTCTATTTTTAGTAAAACTAGCAGCTTAATAATTAATAATGATGAATAAGGAGTAAAATTTTAAACTTTTAATTTCTATATCCTTTTACTATCATTTTTATTTGTATTTAGTATTTTTTTTTTCTATTTCTCAATCAGTTTAAACTCATAGAAAATGGAATGAAAATGAAGAAATGCAAAATTTTATAATTTAGAAAGAAAGATGTAGCAAATAATTGACCAAAATTTAGTTCAGAATAGAGCAAATTACGATTTTAGTACTTAAATTATCAGTTTTAATATATTTTAATATCTAAACTTTAATTTTTTTTAAAACTATACCTAATATTTAATTTTCATTTTATTTTAATACTCTACCTTTAAAAACTTAATGCGTTAGTGCCTAAACTATCAGTTTTAGTACCTAAATTTTTAGTTTCTTTTCAAATTTTAACGTTAAATTTTGAACGAATACTAAAATAAAATAAAAACTAAAATTTTTAACAATATAATACTAAAATAAAATAAAAATTAAACTTTTAATATACTTTAAAAAAATAAAAATTTAGATTATAAAATAGACTAAAACTAATAATTTAACTACTAAATGCGTATTATTTAATTTAACCTTTGAAATATTAGTACATTCGCTTTTCCCGAGTTGATTGATCAAGTCGGACGCGTCTGACAACGTACTTTCTTCTTCGTTTTCATACTTGAAAATTCTAAGGAAAATGTTTATCCACACCATGAACTCATTAATGAAGATTTTTTTAAAAGAATGAATTATCAATTAATAATAAAATTAAAACGGGAGTCAGTTTTAGGCAACTGTTGACACTCAACACGTAAATATAGAAGCGTAGTACTTTCACCTCGTTTCATGGACTTTGGATCCTCTCTTCCTTCTTTATTGTCTCTCCAACAACTCTGCATCTCCCTAGCATTCTTCAGGTCAAGTCAATTCCCCAAATTTGTGTTAATTTTCTGATTATCTTTCAGTTTTCTCTCTGGGTTTTTAATCCCTTATTGATGATCGATTAATTTCCCTTATGGGTTTTTATTCTAACTTGTTTTTCTTCATCCTTAGCTGATATGCTGATCTGGGTTTTGTTTCTTATCTGTTTTATTTTTGTTATTTTGATTGAACTTGGTTTAATTAGTTCATTAGTGGTAATGGTTTTAACGGGTACTTTTGTTTTTCCCTATCTTATTAAAATTTTCTGCTCTAATTTCCTTTCTCTTTGATGTTAAACGGCCAGATGAACATAACTTATGCATTTAGATCAAATTTAGTTTGAATCCAGGTGGTATTTATTTATTTTATTTTTATTGATTGCATTATCTTTGTAGGTTTAAGGAGTTGTTTATTGCTTATTAGGGATTTGATACACCAATGTTCGTTCTAATGGTGCTATTAGTTTTGTTGAATTGTTTATTAAGGTTTTACTTTTTTTCAATTTACTCGATTGCTAGAAATACGCAATGAGTTAGAATTGGCGACTCCGAATTCGGTGTCGGATCTCTAGTTTCACTAGTAAGCCTTACTGGGTGCCTAAATTTAGTAAGAAGCAAAGCTTCCAATGTTGCATTTGATTCTATAAGCCGACGAGTTCATAATATTCGCTGAATTTCCGGAATTCAACAAGCTTTTGGGAATTTAATATGACTTGTTAAGTCAGTGATGAATGAACTTGTTTGTATATGATGATATAGTGTCTAATATATGATTTAGGAACTTTAACTAATCGATGTTTCACAAGGTATAATATCTGTGATTCGATAACAATAGCTCGTTACGTGCATCAGAGTGACCCTTCATTGTGCACTATAGAAGGCAATGCTAATTGCTACCTTCTGAAAACTTGAGTTTCTTAAGCTTTTTTTTTTATAAATTTACTAAATTTATCAATTGTTATTGATTAGAAATATATAGAGAGAGAACTTCATCACTTTAGGGACTGTCATTGTCGGTTTTTTTGTCTTTATAATGAATAAACCCCTTGCATTATGCAATTAAAATATAATCATTGTAAAGAAATCGAAAGTTGTGATAGTACATTCATCGATAAAGCCATCCTAGGTCCCAGAATTTGGAAGATACTCCAGAAACCATTGGCTGCTTGATATTGCATTTTTCTTCTTCGTGTTTTCGAGTCATCTGCATCATTTTCCAACATACACTGAAATTTGGTCTGTTGGTTCTAATTTTAGCAGACAGTCTATGGATGACTGCTCCATGCCTGCCTTAGTGATTTTTGTTATTTGATTCCACTGTTTTATGAGCATGAAACTAAGTTCTTCTCACTGGTTTCCTTTTGGCAGGTCTGAAACTGCTCTGATTCAAAACATTGATCAAATATATAGGAAAACTTGTCAGTGGTGCGTTGTAAAGTTATGACTTGTTTTTCTTTTTTATGTCGTGGACGTAAAGATTCATCAAAAAACCATTCTTTTGGGGTTGATGAAGGTAAGTCAGAAGCCTTCTAATACTTGGAAAATCTTTTATGTTATCATGTTCAATTTAATGAAGTAAACCTCCTAATCTGCCTTCTTTTTTTCTTTTTCCCAGAGTTTGATGTTCACAACGTAAAATTTTACACATACAAAGAATTAAGAACCGCTACTGAAGATTTTAGCCCAGTCAATAAGATTGGTGAAGGAGGTTTTGGTTCTGTCTATAAGGTATTTATATGACGTTTCAACATATCGAGCATTGCTTGCTTGACCCTTTGATTTCTTGTCATCATTCTGTAAAAGGAACCTCATCATTATTGATTTTCAGGGCCAGCTCAAAAATGGAAATATCGCCGCCATAAAGGTTCTTTCAGCCGAATCAAGACAGGGAGTGAAAGAATTCGTGACAGAGATTAAGGTGATCTCCGAAATTGAGCATGAAAATTTAGTCAAGCTCTATGGCTGTTGTGTGGAAGATAATCACAGAATCTTAGTCTATAACTACCTCGAGAATAATAGCCTTTCCCAGACTCTTCTCGGTAATGTTTCAATCTTGTTCTATGCTTTTAGAGTTCGGTTTATTGAATTTGAGGGTATTTTTCATATCATAATACGTAGTAGTAAAACTATACATATATATATATATATATATATATATGTGTGTGTATATGTATGTATGATGTATCCAGTTTAAATCACATTGAAACTAAGAGCAGTTGAGCCCTTTTCTTTTACAGGTAGTGGTCACAGTAATATCCAGTTTAATTGGAAAACACGGTCCAAAATATGTATCGGGATTGCACGTGGGCTTGCTTTCCTTCATGAGGAAGTAAAGCCTTACATTGTTCATAGAGATATCAAAGCAAGCAATATTCTTCTCGACAGGGACCTAACACCCAAAATATCAGATTTCGGATTGGCGAAGCTTATTCCAGCAAACATGACCCACGTTAGCACTCGTGTGGCAGGAACAATGTAAGGCTCCGATATTCCTTCTAGTTTAATGGTAGTTTAAATGTATTTTTAGTTTTGGATTTGCGGTTAATACCATATTGCCATCCAAGTCACAATATTTTGGTGTTAAAAGTAGTAGCAATACCAGATTTCTATGTTACTAGGACTCGGTGTGAGAGTCGGAGACATGTATGTATCCGACAGGCGACATGTATGTCTCCGACAGGCGACATGGTTATATTCATTTTTTTTCTTCTAGGATTTTCATATATTTGGAGGGTCATATGTTCACACCCGTGTCTGAATGTGTCGATATGAATATCGACCATAAGTACTTGAAGAAAAATGAAGGGTCGGAGCACAATAGCAAAACTTAACTCCTTTTTCGTAAGGAGGATTCGTCATTCTGTGTATAGATATTTCCTCCATGGCAATAAGCATCTGCAAACATCATTTTTTTCCACTTCAAAGCTTTCAGGTTTCTGAAACGATCATTCGTGAAATCTGAAAGAAAGGAGAAACTGAGGCTACTTTGAAGAATTAGTGTCTAACATGCTTTTGCTTTCGAGAAGGTTAATATGACTTCAACAAAATCGAATTGAAGTTCGTTCCCTCTTTAAATTAGGTTCTAGTTCAAGCCATTGCTTATCAAATTTATTATATTAACTATGGGATCTGTGGCTGTAGTTAAAATTTACCAAATTAAGCATACATGATATTGGAGTTAAGTTTATAGTACTGTCACTGACATATTCATGATTTCAGAGGTTATCTCGCACCGGAGTATGCAGTAAGGGGGCAGCTGACGCGAAAAGCAGATATCTACGGTTTTGGCGTCCTCCTCATAGAAATAGTCACCGGGAGATGCAACACAAATACACGGCTGCCTGTAGGAGAACAATATCTCCTAGAACGGGTAGGGGTTCGAGTCTTTTCCATTATAGTTTAAAGTATAGTGTATTGCAATTATGTAAATGACAGAGCGTGGTATGGAAGTTACGAGACTTCCTTTCAGTTTTGCTCTGAGATCATCAAGCGAGATATATGTTGTAACTCATTGAAATATTATCGAAAGGTTTAGGGTTCATGACATGCTGGTCTCTTGTTGCAGACATGGGAACTTTACGAGCGAAGGGAGCTGGTTGCATTGATAGATGCTTTGGTGAATGGAGATTTTGATGCAGAGGAGGCTTGTAGGTACCTCAAGATCGGTCTTCTTTGCACCCAAGATGCTCCTAAGCTACGGCCATCTATGTCGTCGGTGGTCAAGATGCTAACCGGTGAGAAAGATGTCAATGAGAAGAAGATAACAAAACCCGGCTTGATTTCCGATTTTATAGACCTCAAAGTGCGAAGCTCCAACAAAACGAAGTCGGAGCCGAAGAACACATCTTATAGCGCTTTCTCTAGCTCGGACAAAGACAATTCGACCATGTCCCCAGGAACTGCAACTATGACCTTCAATACTCCGTATTACGACCGGAGCACTTAAACATCAACGCGAACAAAATGTCAACAATTTATTCATTTTTATATTGTTTTTGTATTTGTTTTTTTGAAGCCTTGCCAGTTTGTAAATTGTACAACAGTGTTTGCTCTTTCTTGTACTTGTAAAATAGCCGAACCCAAGCTCTTGTAAATGTTCATTGCTTGGTGACTTTGCAGTTATTCGAGGTGTATACGAGTCGGGTAGAGTTAGAATGGACTCATATATATATATATATATATATATATATATATATATATATATATATATATATATATATATATATATATATATATATATATATATATATATATATATAGGATAAAGTATATAAATGGTTCTCCTCTGATTATAGGGTGTTGTTTTATTAAGTTTTCCGAACATCAAAAGTTATAAATAATCCCCGAACATAGGATTTTACATTGTTGAGTATATCAACTATTAAAAGTTATAAAATGATCATCTGATTATTCATTATATTTCGAATTCGTCATTTTTCGTTAAAAAATTGACGATTGTCTGAGTTGAATGTTAGTAATATTGTTTGAGATATAATAAAAGTTGATCACAGAATCTTAAACGACTATCATATTTTAGACAACAAATTAACATTTGACATTAATTTTTTAACAAAAAGAGGGTGAATTTAGAACAATATAAATAATCGATTATCATTTTATAATTTTTAATAATTTAAACACTTAACAAAATAACATCCTATAATTAAGATATTATTTTATAACTTTTAATAATTAAATACTTAATAAAATAATATCTTATAATTAATACGATTTGTATAATGAAAATATTAATATCAAACTCGACTTTGAAATTCGGATCCCGTAGTAAAAACTATTTCGTCTCATGGCATCTACTTGTCATTCTCTATAATAAAAATAAATGAATTATATAATATATATACACTTCTTTATCATCTCATTCGCATTAATGAAAATAAATAATTTTCCTACCAGAAAAAACATATGAACAGAACACAAACATGGCAGGAGCATCTCATAGTCTCAACTCGTGTTGGTAAATTCATTATGTTGAAAACAAAAGTGGGGTCGTCAACCCCTCTGGTCTATGTCTAATTTTTAATTATGAACTAAGAAAATTGTCTAAAGGTTTAATGAACGATCCTTTCCAGCTTTCCTACTTGTCCGAGTTGAAGCTGAGTCGCTGAGTATGAGACAGAGTTAGCTTTCTCTTTTACACCTTTTTTCGAACTTTTCTTTTCAACTCAGAGCACTAGGCCCTATTTTTCACTTGCACTCAATTAATGGAGTACTGCTTTTACTCACCCCACCCAGCTCAACTCACCTAATCATTTGCCTTACTGTGCTTTGTATTTAGTGAAGTCCCAGATTTTTCAGAGTGAAAAAAGGGGCTTAATTTGCTTCAATCTTTTGTCCTTTTTATTTTCTTAAAAATCCCTTTTGTTTTTCCATAGCTTACATGTGAAGCAAAAAGTTTTGGGGTCGAATGAACCCAGCGTGATCGGACTTACTCTCTCAGCTGCAATCCCTTTGATGGGTATTTTGTGTTCCTTTCTTAAATCAAGCAAGTGGAATGAACAAATGGGTGTGTTTTAGTTCCTCTAAAAGCTTCAATCCCTGAAATGGGTGTTATTCCTCTCTCCATTTTCTTCGTAAAAATTTGATCTTTTTCGAGGGTGGATCTAAAAGTGGGGGCCCATGGAGGATTTAGGGTTTTTCAAGCAGGACTGGAAATGGTTGGAATCTCAGAAACATGTTTACTCCAAGGCGAAAACAGCTGTTGCTTGGTGTAGGGATAAAATGGTTGTTAATGGAGAGGCATTGGCCTATGGTTTGCAGTGGGTGTGTTGGTTTCGTCAAGTTTTCGAGGTTGGTTTTGCTTGTCATGATGTGGAGCTGTTTCCTCAGCTTCACTTCCATGTCTTGCTTGCTTTATGTGCTTTTGAGTATGGTAATGTACCAGTTCCATTCTCTTTAACTCTTTCGTGTTGTGTGCTTTTGCATTTTTACTTTTGGACACTTTTCAAGCTGATTGATCATTTTACATGTCTGCTTAGAATTTGAGTAGTTTCGATGCTTGATCTTTTGATGTTGAATTGATGTGTTAGGAGGTTAGATTCTTAGCAAAGATGATTGGATTTAGCTTAAAAGTTCCATTTCTAGAATGTTATGGTTGAGGTTGTGCTGATTGCTGAACTGTTGATTGGAAATCATACCCTGAAGTTCTCGTAAGAGATGTCGAAATGCTTTTGTATGATAATTCTTTTCGACTCTGAGATCCCTGGATATTATCCTCAACCATAAAACTGTCTCCATACTAATGTGTGGAGTGTTATTGAAGCTTTTTCGAACACTTAATCCCGAATGACCTCGAAAGTTAAAATTTGCTCTTTCCCAACCTGTAAGTTGTGTTATGCTGTCTGATCCCTTTTTCCTTGATGATCGAACATGAAATTGCAGGAGCAAAAGTTGCTAAGCAGTTGTTGATGGTCGATATTTGCTATTAAGTGATGCTTTTTCATTCCAACTTTAGTTTACTTCCTGCCATCGATTTTATCAATTTATAATTTGCAATTACCAATTTAAGAATGAAGCAGATGATCTGGTCTCACTTGTTTCAGGGAGCTGCTGGTGCTGCTGTACAGTACTTAGGTTACACGCCTGGCCTCTATATCGTAGGACTGTTCGGCATATTGGTATTATGGATGTATGCTAACTTTTGGATAACCGGAACACTTTTTATAGTTGTAGGTATGACTCGTTTCTTGCCCTATCAAACTAAATTTTCCCGTCAGTGATATCGTATCCATACTTTTTTGTTATTTCATTTTCATATCCACATATGACACGGAACAGGTCTACGTTGCCTGTGACATCCACAAAAATACCTTAAGCCATATGAAAATGAATTGTTGCTTTCGTTTTTTCGAACTTGTGCATGTAAGGATAGCATATAACTTCATTGACGGGCTTAATTGTATTTGCATTTCATCTGCTTTCGCTGCCTTTGTTGTTTTGCAATCTTTTAAGTTGATATATCTCTGCGCAGGTTATTTGTTCTCCGTAAGTCATGCGCGATTAATAGTTTTAATAGCGACCGTATACTCTGTTTATTGTGTCAAAGTTCGAGTTGGGTGGCATGGCGTTTTCCTATCAATGAACCTTGCGTTTTTGTCGAATGATGTGGTGAATTATTTGCTACAATGCTTCGATAATGCGAGTGAGAACACACATTTTGAAGATCAAAAGGAACCCAGATCAGTTATGGAAGATGATTTGCCTGGAGAGTGTGAATACTCTATTCCCACTGATGAACCTAAGAAGGTGCATCAATGCAAGTCATCGAGCAAATCTGCTACTACATCAATTATAAACCAAAAGGAGCTCACTGCAAAAAGGGTGGTCAAGGAAGAAACAAGTTCGACCGATGAAATGAAAAGAATATTAAATAGCACAGATCATTATGAAGCATTGGGGTTCCCTCGTCATGTAAAAATTGACGCCGGAATCATGAAAAAGGAATACCGAAAAAAGGTAGATGCTATCCTGATAGAAACCTTACACTTTTGATTTGTCAATTTCCACAATCTGTTATTAAAATTAGGAACCATTTTCGAAAGGAACCATCATTATGCCTTCTTTTGTTTTCCATATCTCTAGTATTCCCTAATTTTCTCGATTTATTTTCTGGGAATTCTATTTTGACAGGCCATGCTTGTACATCCTGACAAAACCATGGGAAGTCCTTTAGCAAGTGAGTCATTTAAGAAACTTCAATGTGCTTATGAGGTGAGTAACTATGTTCTCATTGTTCTTGTTATAGTCTTTGCATGGTTTTTCATTTTGAGTTCCGATTATCTCAAACGATAGTTGAACAATCTCAACGCTTCAAGAAATTATGGCTCATTTACACAGCTGCCGTTGTTGTCTATTTGCAGGTCCTTTCTGACTCCATGAAGAAGAGGGACTATGATGAGCAATTGAGAAAAGAAGAATCCAAGACTCGGAGTGTCTGTCAAAAGTCCCATAGCTCTACACGGCAGGTAATCTGATTTCTGTTCGCTCCTTTCCGTTTTTCTGATCACTAGAGTTGTTGAGTAAACTAATACCTTTTAACACTCCTTTCAGCAATCTACTTCAGATCATCGCTCCGAAGAATCAAGGCGTATACAGTGCACCAAGTGCGGTAATTCGCATATATGGGTGTGCAGGAACAAGGCCAAGGCTAGGTGGTGTCAAGTCAGACTTCCCAACTTTCTATTTGGCAAATTTGATCTTTGAAATATGTATGCAATATCTTTAGCATCAATAGAAGAATTACTATGATATTTCAATGTCCTCTTGCGCACAAAAAGAGAAGCACGAGCACGAACACGAACACATCTACAAACTCATTTACATGCATCTATATATTTCGTTAGCCCTAAATGCGTGCATTTCTTGAATTTCTGAGATTAGTTTTACCTTCAGGATTGCTGTCAATATCATCAAGCCAAAGATGGAGATGGATGGGTTGAGTACAAAGGTTCCTTGGTGTTCGATAGGCCTCAGAAGGTAAGTTCCTTGTTAGTCGGTGCAAAAACTTCGATCCATTTGATTTACTACATTGATTGTTTCGACTGTATTTGGTACCGTCATCAACTTGTGAATGTTTCACGTCACCGTCGATGATCTTAGCCCATATAAATTTTCCCCCGTCACGTTATTGTTAAACGGCTACTTAATGAATGGAAGACCCCAGAGAACGGTATTTTGATTCTGTTCGAGGAAGCAAGTTGAGTAGTTCTCTAAATAGTTCTTTACTGGATCTTAATCTAAGCACTTGCTGATTTAGGAGATAAAACCTTCGTCGGCCACAAGGAAAGCACCATCTGTCAACGTAGATAATATCGTGGCTAAATAGAGACGATATTTCCGTGCACTGTGCTTTGATTATTGTCATTGGATCATTCAAGTTAACATCTACTGTCATGCTTTGTCAAATGCCCGAGAATTTTCGGCCCCTTTCTTTCGTTAACCTTAGCTGTTCACTATGTTTGCTTGCTGTCTTATAGATGGAAATACCGCGTGCTTTTGTCTGCGCCGAGAGCAAGATCTTCGATGTTTCGGAATGGGCTATCTGTCAGGTCAGTGGTTCATGTTACATGCAAAAC